TTAAATTAGGTCATATTTAGGTGGTTAGCATAAATTTCGCCAACTTTAACCAAATCCAGGTTTGGATATGCTAGGTCAGGTTAGATGAGGTCGTGTAGGGAAGGACATATACATATAATATCTTATGGGTCATGAACTAGCATGTTTATGAAATAGTGTAAATTTTCCTATTTGGGGTTCGAGCTATATGGCCAACTCATGTATTGTATGGACAGAGGTGTTATAGGCTTGTATGTGAGGATATGGGATGCTCATATTTTGTTAGTTTAGCTTTTACTAGGTTGAATTTAGGTAAATTTGTGAAGTATAAGTATATTTTTTTTTATAGATTTTGATGAATTTAGGTTTTGATAGCATGCATTTTTGATAAGATATAGCAAATTTTCTTAAAATTATCATATAAAATACTGACTTCACCAAACCTAACATAACTAAGGCTAGAATAAATAAGTCTGTTAGATGGTTTGCATAAATATATATGGGTGGCCTGATTGGAGAGGATGTAACAAGGAATGTATTACAAACAATGGACATATGTTAGATGAATAGTTTAGCACTGATAATGTTGAAATATTAATGGAAAATGAATGTGTTAATAATAGCGCTCATCGGAAGTCATATGTACCTTTTTAATATGTGAAATTCTGATTTTTGGGGAGTTGGTTAAACTCAGCATATTGTAATTAAATGTCCTAAATATACCTAGAAAATATCTTGCAAATTGTGTATTGTTTGACCCAGTTGGTTGTGTCTGTATTTGTACATATATTGCACAATTAATATACTTATATATTGATTGTGTAGATTATGTATTTTGCATAAGTAGTATGATTATTGCAATTATGTATTGATTATATTTCTATAAATTGTGTATTGTTTTGTGCAAGTCGTATGTATTAATTGTATATGTATTTGTGGAAATTTTCTAGTTGTGTATTTAATGAATATGTGCTAGTTATGTATTGTTCAGTTGTGTATTGATTTTATTTTTGAGCAAGTTGTGTAAATGTCGCAATTGTATTTGTGTAAATCGTGTTTTATGCCAGTTGTGTATTTTCATATTTGGGGTAGTTATGTATTGTACGTATTTGAGCTAGATATGTATTTGTGCAAGTTGTGTAATAATTATGAAAGATGTGTAATATTTGTGAAAGTTGTTTATTAATTGCGCATGTTGTGTAATTGCATATGGACGAATTGTTTATTTATACCTTTGTGTATTTATTGTCATTGTGCAAGTTGAGAAATTATATAGAAAGTTTTCTTGTATTAATTGTGCAAAGATGTACAATAATTACACAAATTGTGCAATAATTGTACATGTTTTATAATAATTGTTGTACTAATAGTGCATTTATGCAAGTTGTGTTTTTAATTTGTTGACGCGGAACTGGTGCAACTGTATTTTTGTGTGCAAATTGTGTATTTTGTGTAAGGTCTGTAATCTGAAAAAATAGACCTTAGTGGTGTAAGTGTATTTGGTTTATGAGACAATGTATGAGTATTTTGTGAAAATTATGTTTGTGGAATTGTGTAATTTTAGTGAAAGCGCATTTTTGATTGTCTAAATGCATAAACATTTGATATATTTGTACAAATATCACACTTTCTGTAAATGTTATAATCTGAGTGTACATGCAATATTGTGTAAATGGCATATTTTGTGTGCAACTGGCATCTTTTGTATGTAAATGTCATATTTTTGTCTATAAATGACATATTTTTGTGTGATGGTATATTTTGAGTGTAAATAATATATTTTGTGCATAAATGGCATATTTGGTGTGTAAATGCTGTATTTTCTGTGTATGGCATAAATTACATCTGATTAATGGGGAAATGGTGGTAAAAAATTAGGCTATTCTCTATGAATATATAGTGTGAAGTATGTGTAGGTATATATGATTGTATTTGCGACTGTTGGTTTAGAAACAAGTTAGCTGATTTGTGTAGCAAAACTAGGATTTTTTATTTTCGAGGTGTAGAAATGATTAGCCTATGAATATAGTGGCTAGCATCCAGCTGAGTTGCTAGATGGATGAATTGAGGTGCGACATTTGGATAGCTATTTGATGGATGTGAGGACAGTTGACTAGCCTATGAACACAGCTACTAATCCGCTGTGCTGCCAGATGTGTGGTGGCTACTTGTGGTTTATAGTAGAATATCTAGCTATAGGGTTTCATAATTGCTGTTGTGTATAAAACTAGAATGACAGCTATTTATTAAAACTATTATTGTACACTAATACTTTAAGTGGGTTCCCTTGGTTGCTTTAAGCATAGGGTGGACATGAATATGAATGAGATTGGGTGGAAATATATAGGAGCTGCCTCGTATGGGCCAATAGGACTTTTGCAGTTACCTTTATTCTTATGTTCAGCTCACCTGCTATGCTGCCAGACGTACGATTCTACAAAAAATTGCGGTACGACATTTGGGTTGCTGTTATACTTTTGCACTTATCACCGAATAATAATTACAGTTGTGGATAATTAAAATGTATATTCTTAAACCAGGACAACTTACCTGTCATGATGCTCAAATTGCGGTACGAAATTGGGTTGCTATTCTAGTTTTCAACTTATTACTGCATAATGAATGATTACAGTTGCGGATGACTAAAATGTATGTTCTTAAATCTCTGATTAGGTTAAGTGGGGATGGATAGTCTAGTCATTTTTTAATAATAACATCAAATACTCATGCCAGTAGGACGCCAAAGGTCGCATTGGTTGTCTGGTGACGTCATACATAGTTGACCAGTAAGGTACTGTAATACCTTCACACCTATATGCTAATGACCATTAATACCTTATCCATATACCTGAGGTCGCTTTTCACGATGTCACTAAACAACAACAATAACTGGTCTGTAGAATGTATTTGTTTGTTAAATATATATAATAAGTTAGGATAGGTTAGGTTAGGATGGTTTTTAGGGTTATGAATAACAGAAAATATAAGCAATGAGCGAAAATACGAGCTATTGTAGCTGAATATCAACTCTGATGAAGCATAGAGTATAGGTGAGGTATTAAGCCTGATTAAGAGTTCACACTTATGTGTGAACCTCCTGGGACCCGGATTTAGTCGGTTGACGCCTCGCGCCACATTAGGGATGATGACGTCAGAAACGAAGGCCTTATTTCAAAACATGAGAGGCTTGCTTTTCATTGAAGTTACCATGCCTGGCAGGGGACTGTTAGTTTATACAGTAATGTTGGATTAGTACTGAAATCGCATTGAAGTCACCATGCCTGGCAGGGGACTGTTAGTTTTTACAGTAATATTGGATTAGTACTGAAATCGCATTAAAGTCACTACACCTGGCAGGGGTCTGTTTTCATACAAATGAGAGATAGTAAGTTTTCATTTTTATTTTGCCCTATGCTCAATAAGCAATTTCTGAAGAAAGATTGACAAAGCTTAAATTACATTCTCTAGAAAGGCAAAGAAATAGAGGTGACATGATAGAGCTGTGAATGAATGGACATGATAAAGGGGGAATATTAATAGACTAATAAAATTATCAACACTAGACAGAACATGATACAATGGACATAAATTGGAATAAGTTTTAGATTTAGGAAAAAGACCTGGGAAAATACTGGTTCTGTAAACAGGGTTTGAAGTCATTTCTTATGTTATTATTATGTAATCTTAGCTATAAAATTATCTTAGACAATGGGAAACAGTACGGCAATACCTTATTGAGAAAAACGAGCTTATAATGATTAACGCCATTGCACATTAGGCTTGACAGAAGGCAGCATTTGAATCCCCCTTTGCTACAAATATTGAAAATGGGAATAATTACACTGTAACAGAAAACGGACTTATACAGGGAAAATGAAGACGGGGGTGACGTCATTATCCATTAGCGATGCCTGTGCAGGGTTGCTCAGGTAACGAAATATGATGGGGCCAGGAGCCGGCTGTTTAATCCCCTTGAGCGAAAATGGCAGGGGCCAAGTACGTGCGTGGGAAAAAAAGTTTGTAAAACCCAGGGGCCAAGTACGTGCGTGGGAAAAAAAGTTCGTAAAATCCAGGGGCCAAGTACGTGCGTGGGAAAAAAAGTTCGTAAAATCCAGGGGCCAAGTACGTGCGTGGGAAAAAAAATTCGTAAAACCCAGGGGCCAAGTACGTGCGTGGGAAAAAAAGTTCGTAAAACCCAGGGGCCAAGTACGTGCGTGGGAAAAAAAACCAAAATAGCACGTACTTGGCCCGGTTTCCCCTACTCGTGTGGTGGGGTGGTGCGTGTGGTGGCGTGGTGCGTGTGGTGGGGTGGTGCGTGTGGTGGAGTGGTGCGTGTGGTGGGGTGGTGCGTGTGGTGGCGTGGTGCGTGTGGTGGAGTGGTGCGTGTGGTGGGGTGGTGCGTGTGGTGGGGTGGTGCGTGTGGTGGAGTGGTGCGTGTGGTGGAGATACTTGTTGGGGCTCCCTCGCATGTATATTTTATATTATACTTGATGAGGTATCCGGCTGTGCCCGGGGTCTTCCCCCTCCCCCCTTTTCTTTAATAGTGGCTTTAGGCATTGTATGTACTAGCTCTATCTATAAAGCCAACAAACTTTGTAAAATCTCTTTATGTATGTACCTTACCTAAATAAAATTATTATTATTATTATTATTTTCAATCTCTACCCCTTCTCCACCTTTCTCCTCCCTTCTCTTCTCTTCTCCTATTCCCTTCGACCACTCCTGTCCTCTTCCCCCTTCCTCCCCATCTCCTCCCATCCCCCCTTCCCTCTCCTCCAATATCTCTCTCTCTCCTAATTTCAGATTTCATGAAAATATTGGAGATATCTCTTAGGAGATTAGCAATGGGGCCATCCCCGACTGACCTGTGACACTCCCATACCACCCACGTATCATCTTGAAAAGTTAGGTGAGGCTAGCCAAAGCATCTAGCCTCCAAACTTGGACAGATATTTTCTCTTAGAGCTACACACATCCCCCACAGCTGTGCCCCCGCCCCTCACTGCACTCTCTCCCAACAGTTCCGGCGTGGGAGGTGTCGGGATGGGTGACCCCGGCGGGTGTGGAGGCCGGGCAGGTGGCGACCCTCATCTGTGAGGCCACCTCCAGCGTGCCTCCCTCCACCATCACCTGGCACTCTGACGGCCCGCCCCTCCCACACCCCACCGTCACCCACTCCTCCGGCCTCTATGGTGGCACCATTACCAGGTACGTGTCTGGGGGTGGGGGTGGCTGGGGTGAGGTTGATGGGGGGGGGGCGGTGTAGTGGTGGTGGGTGGCAGTGGGAGGATGTCACCCCTGATTTTATCATATTTTCTTTTCGAAACTATGAAAGCTTTATCTTTGCTCTGTCTTTTCCCCCTTGTACACACAGGGGGAAAATCCCAAGTCTTTCTTAAACTTTCCCCAACTGACACAACCTGGGTAATTTTACCAATTCACAAACTTACCTTCAAACATGGGCAAGTGTTAACCCTTCCTCAAACTTGCCCTCAAACTCGCGTGCAAGAGAGGGTATGGATAAGCGGTGGAGAGAATGGAGCGAAGCGGAGAGATTGGAGAGTAGCCATTTGAGAGAGAGAGTAGGAGAAAGAGACTCTGGGATTGGCTAGGCCGCGTGGCTGTAAGAGCCAATGTCTCCTCAAGACGACTGAAGGAAAGAGATGAATGCAAGCGGAAAATAATAATCTTGTTCAAAGAGATAAGAGCAGAAGGTACACGGATCCTCGATTACAGCTCCTGCAGGAGTTATGTAGGCTACGACGGCTGGCAGGCAAGGAGAGTGGATGGTTACGGTTCCTCCAGCAGGGGACAGGTGAACTGAGGTAACAGGTCAAGCCTATTGTACAGAACACAGTGAACAGAACCTTTCGCCGTGAGATAGCCTAGCTACGTCTGCGACACAGTTTCCTTCAACGTTACTCGCAATATTTTGCCCGCTTTGGGCCACTTAAAGCACTTAACAGAATACCTCCATATCCACTGCATGCACTTATGTTCCCCCGCACAAGGATTACACTAACGAAATTTTCCTCGTATTTCTAACATTCAGGTCTTCGATGCAGTTGCGGACCCAGGCAGAAGACAACGGAAGGAGTTTCATCTGTGAAGCCAACAACGGCTTGGGAGTCACCTTAGTGGCCAACGTTACCCTCAGCGTCATGCGTGAGTCTTGGTCTCTCTTGTCTCTTTCCGTTGAACTGTGGTGCTAATCTTGACCTTAAGCGCTTTCTGGAGGGCTGTAGCGCAACTCATGGTCACCACACTATTAAAAAAATATCTATTTGATATTCCAAAAGTGCAACTTAACCAGAACAGAAATGCTTTGCAAATCAAGAGTCTCAAAATGTGGAATGACCTCCCTAATCACATCAAAGACATATCTCAACCAGTTTAAAAGAAACACTAAGAACTACCTAATCAACTCCGCGTAACCAACCTTACACATCCTAAATGTGAACCTGTAAAATTACTAAAAATTAAGTAATAGTAAAATTACTACCTGCTGTTCTGTTGCAATTTTTGCTGTTCATGTAATAATTGTCATTTTGTGTTCTATTTCTCTACTTCAATTCAGTATTATTTTTTATTTCATTTAGTTTAAAGTCTTCTTAAGTTTTTTCCCAAATTATGGCCGAAACTCTCCGCGTGTTAGAGGTTTGGTGCACCGTTAGTCTGGTAGGGACCTACCAGACGTACGTCCCTACCAGACGTACGTCCCTACCAGACGTACGTCCCTACCAACGAGCTCAACACGGCTTCCCTCTTGTGTGTACATTTGCCTAAATAATGTTTTTTTTTGTTTTTTTTCATGGAATTGTGTCCATTTTGCTGTTATTGCTCAAGTACTAGTGAGTTCTTATTCATGGTATAGCATATATATGGCCTTGGTATGATCGTGGAGTGGTCTTCCTATGGTCGTGTTGATGGCCAAGGACCTATGTTGGTTGTAGTGGGGTAGCTAGTGGTCCAGGTGGTGTTGTGGTGTGGTGCTGATGTGGCCATGGTGCTTTAGCTTCCCCACTGGGCACCCTATCATAGAGTAACGTTTCTCTTGGATATTGTGCTCAGTGGCTCTGTGGTCATCCCCGTCACAAGTGAAGGATTGTCACGACAATCCTTCGTAACAACCTTCGTGAAACCTAAGTGGTTAACCACCACTTAGGTTAATATAACAATCATGATTGATGAGTCAGAAACTTCGAACTTGCTAACTTGGACAAGTTCTCTCTCACTTTGTTCAAAACTTCCCAGGTACTCGCACCATCTATTCACTCTATACTGGCTTCAGTCCACAGTCCTTCCTCAGTCATCCCGTCCCTGCTATGTCTCCATCTCTCTGGCTTGTATGCTGGAATATTTAAGTGTCTGAAGGTAGTTATGACAGTAATTTTACGTACTGCAATTTCGTAATTCCAATAGGATAAGTTTGTTTAAGGCCTACAACTATATTAATTAGACATTTATGCAAGGAAGTTTTTCTCCTGTGGTGGTAGTGTACTGTTTGCTAAGGTCCATAGACACTGCTAATGAATAGCATCATTAATGTATCATTGACATATACCGTGTACGTTTATACGTCTGTTTTATGCAGGCGATGAGTCGCAATAACGTGGCTAAAATATGTTGACCAGACCACACACTAAAAAGTGAAGGGACGACGACGTTTCGGTCCGTCCTGGACCATTCTCAAGTCGAAACGTCGTCGTCCCTTCACCTTCTAGTGTGTGGTCTGGTCAATGTCTGTTTTAGTCAAGGGGTAAAAGGTGAAGCACGTTGCTTAGAACGGGATCGGAGTTATGGTAGTAGTTGTGAGACGACTTTTTATTTATTAACAAGCTCAGGTGCATAAAGCAGTGTGCTGCTGCCCTATACTATAAGAATGATCACAGAGTATAGATCAAGAGCTGCGAGTTCATCTAATATCCCCGTCTCACAGGATGTTTAGTCATGCATTGAATCGGAAGGAACATGAGTGAGAGTCTAGTTTATTATCCAGCACTCTCAAACTCTGGGCAAAGCACAAGAATATCTTCAAATATTGGTGAGCGTATGAGGTTGTTACAGAGCTACAAGTATCTCGTACCGTTTGGTCTGAATTTATTGACAACAGAGCACTCACGAAAAGTGTCTGAGAGTGTGTCCTAGCTCTTGTTAACATAGTTACAATTGGAATGTTCACCATTGGGTGATTCGTTAACTGCAGCCACCTGCCCTAGATATAGATATCCCAGCCTAATTCTGGCAATTACAATGTCACACAGTCTGGTATTCACCTAGTTGTACTTGCGGGTGTTGAGCTCTGCTCAACACCCGCAAGTACGGGTGTATATATATATATATATATATATATATATATATATATATATATATATATATATATATATATATATATATATATATATATATATATATATATAAGTACACCTCCACCACCCCCCTGCCCGCCATCTTCCCCCACCCCGCTACCTGCGCCCTACCCAGCCAGCCGCCCATCAACACACAGCCTACCCACACACGGTGCCCAGGCCATGCCCAACCCCCCCAGGAGGGTAATGCTTGCCGTGTTACTCTCCATCTGGGAAGGAGAGGGTGCACTCAGCGGGCAGCCAGGCGTCATCACATCTAGGCATGGCACATGTCGCACCTGACACACAGCCTCTTTCCAGCCAAGAAGATGGCCACCCAAGAGGGAACTGTCAAGTGTGTGACAGACGGTATCGTCTCAATTCAAATGGAACTGTCCGCTATCATTCTCTCAATTCAGGTGGTTGTCTAGGGTCTAGGCGCCTGCCCCGGGGCAATGACGATGGACAACCTGCTGCAGGAGCGAGGAACAATACCTCCCTCAACTTCATTTCAGCAGATAATCTGCTTGAAGCAATCAAAGCGACGTCCACCAGGACCTTGCCCCACATCCCCAAGGCTGCCCGTCATCAAGCAGCAGCCAAACTCACCAGTCTGCTGACAAAGGTCATCAATGCTCCTAGAACCATTGGAGCATGGCACAATCTCCTTCTATTTGGGAATGCATGCCTAGCATTACCGCCCAGGAGAGACAAGTCATTAGCAACCTCTGTAATCAGAGCTCTTAATGAATTCCCCAGAGCAGACAACCTGGTCCGCCTCCCCCCTCGTGCCAAGAACACCAGCCGCAGGACGACCAACAATAACTCATCTGAGAACCACAAAATGAGAGCACAGATCACCAGGAAAATAGAAGAGGGCAATACCACAGGTGCCATCAGAATCATGACCAGCGATGACACTATTGCCCCCAGGAACGCCACGACAGCAGAAGCTCTTCAAGACAAACACCCACCCAGAGCCCCCGACAGCAGCAGGGATCCCCAGGAAAACAATGCTGGCATAGAACCCTTGACTGTTCGAGAATCTGAGGTGTACAAAGCAGCCATGTCTTTCCCAACAGGTTCAGCAGGGGGCTTTACGGGCCTAAGACCCCAGCACATCAAACAAATGCTGAACCCGGTGCTTGGAGATGCTGCAAAGGACCTTCTAGTGGAACTTACCAGATTCTCCAACATGTGTTTGGCTGGCGGCATCCCTGAGGACATCAGGCCTGTCTTTTATGGAGCAGCACTCTGTGCTCTAAAGAAGAAGGATAGGGGTATCAGGCCCATTGCCGTTGGCAACACCCTCCGACGCCTTGTAGCTAAGGCTGCAGTGAGATCTATCAGCCAGGAAGCAGCCACCTTGCTGAAACCTCATCAGCTCGGGTTTGGGATTCCCCTAGGTTGTGAAGCTGCAGCACATGCAGCGCGGGCTTACATTGTTGATCTCCCGGACCAGAAGGCACTAGTAAAGCTTGACTTCAAAAATGCCTTCAATCAAGTCAGACGAGACGCTGTCCTCAGGGCTGTACACAACCATTTCCGTCCCCTTTACCCATTCATCCGATCGTGCTACAGTGGGGACTCTAAGCTTCTTTTTGGGGAGCATGAAATAAACTCCTGTGAAGGTGTCCAACAAGGTGACCCCTTAGCCCCCCTCCTTTTCTGCCTAGCTATCAAAGAGGTCACTGATAGTCTGACAAGCGAGCTAAACATCTGGTACCTGGATGATGGCACTCTAGCTGGAACTCCGGAAACCATTTTGGGGGATATAAGGAAAATCCAGGAGCAGGGAGCAGCCTTAGGCCTCATTCTCAATGCATCCAAATGTGAAATAATCTCCCGCAACCCAGACATCACTGGGCAAATACAAAATGCTCTTCCAGACATTCTCGTTGTCGAACCACCGGACTGCACTCTCCTGGGTGCCCCCATTGGCCCACGAGCAATCGAGGAGGTCCTGGCTGCAAAAATCACTGACCTAAAGAGAATGCAGGACAGGATTGACAAGATTGATGCCCATGATGCTCTCTTTCTCCTTACAAGATGCCTGTCTCTCCCTAAGTTGACCTACTTTCTGAGATGTTCTCCATCCTACAGCAGCCCTAAGTTAAATGTGTATGACACCCTTCTGAGGTCCATGCTGGTGAAAGTCCTGAACCTGCCATTGGACGACTCTCAGTGGGAGCAAGCAACCCTTCCTGTAAGACTCGGCGGCCTTGGTGTCCGCACAGCCTCCCAAATTGCTCTACCAGCCTTCCTTTCCTCCTCTCATGCATCGCACGACCTCGTCAGAGATATTTTACCTGCAACCCTGAGAGATTCAGCAGGAATACACGATCCTGCTTTCACTGAATGTTCAAATCAGTGGAATGTTCTTGCAGCCCCAGCAACCATTATAGAGCCAACAAAACAACACAAACAGTCCGGCTGGGACCACCCTCTAGTGGAAAAAGTAGCTGATGCCATGCTAAGCGTCGCAACATCAGACAAGGAGAAAGCCCGCCTCAGAGCAGTGCGTGCCCCCCATGCAGGAGACTTCCTCCTGGCAGTACCCATGTCTGCAATGGGCACGCGCCTAGATCCAGAATCCCTTCGTGTAGCAGTGGCCCTCCGCCTTGGTGCCCCAATTCACACTGAATACAAGTGTATTTGCAACAGGGTGGAAGCAGACCAATACGGACTGCATGGGTTGCATTGCGGAAGCACAAAGGGCTGGCATGCAAGACACAACGAGGTCAATGACATCATCAAGAGAAGCCTCGTCTCAGCTGGGTGCCCAGCGGAGAGAGAACCTCGCATCCTAGGGGTCCA